ATATGAATTTTTTATATTTTAGGCTTCGCTTTATTACTATTTGAAGAAATTAAATATTTGAATATGATTTATTAGAAGTTACATGATTTTTATTATTAGAAATTTTGAGATTTAAGTGCATCTCTTTCAAAAGTTTAGAAACTAAATTGTAATTAAAAAGTTAAAATTAGGGACTAAATTGAATAAGCATGAAGTTTAAAGATCAAAGTGCATAAGAACTTAAAGTTAACGACTAGCATTGACATTTCACCATTAAGATTTGGAGAATTTTTATGGGTGGATGGACGACGTCATGACGTCGATCGATGGAAGGATGATGGCGCTTTTCTCCAAAGTTAAAGGATATTTATGAATTTTTTTAAAATAAAAGGATGGTAATAACCTTCTTTTTTATATAAAGTTTAAGAATTTTTTGTGACATCAACCTTTACAAATTTTATGTTATATATTACTTCTTTTCACACTGTACAACTTGAATAATCTAGTGTGTGTATATATATTGTGAAATTGCAATGTCATTCTTATATTGGTTGTGGTTGAACCCTATAAAAGCACAATTGATTATTCTTTTAAAAAAATAGTTACATTTTCACCTATGCAAAATAAAAATAAATTTATATTTTTACCTATGAGTATCAAAAAAACATATCTTTCTCATTGAAAGTATAAAACTTGATAAAATTGAAAAATGTGACCATAGTGCAAATCAAACAAAAAAAAGAATTTGCGACTATCATGGTAGAGTGATTTACAAAATGGGTACAAAAAGGAGCTCCATGTTGCCTCAATGGCAAAGGTTTTGGCTCCTCATATTTAACGTTTACCATGATGCTCTTGTGAAACAGACGGGGGATTAAGTTTGAGTGGAGCGGACCAATATGGTGTGGCACCATGCAACAGGGTGAAGTCATGCAAAATGTGGAAGTGGCGCGTGGAATGGTACGGTCATAGGTATCTTGATGGGCCCAGTCCCACTCGCCCCACGACACGACCTGTCTGCTCCAGATTTTTAGGAATCCCACAAAAACTGGTTTTGCAAACTCCTGAATACCGCTGTCCCCAATTAAAATTCCTAAAATACCGCTTTTTCTCAAAACCGGTGGCTGAGTTTCATAGTTTGGCCTTTGGTGTCTGCCGCCGTACTTTCCTTCTTTTTTTCTTTTTTTTACTGAAGCTAAATCCGTACTTTCTTATATGAGATACATTGGACCGCTAGATTATAAATGGAAAACAATTTTTATATAATTTTTTTTTATTTTTTTATATAATTTGACGTATTATTAAAATGATTGATTTTTTTAATTTACGTAGAATTTATGATATTGAATGCATCTACTCATTTAATGAAACATGAAAATTATATGAAAAGGTTGTATAAAAAGGTTAGGTTAAATGCTAAATTTAGTCCATCAACTTTAGTGAGTTGCACATTTTTTGTCTCTCAACAATTTTTTATATTTTTTTGATCCCTCAACTATACAAAATGCACTCCGTTAGTCCTTTTGTCAATTTGGGCCGTTAACTCCGCCACATAACATTTTTTATATTTTTTTTATGACATGGCAATGACAACTTAAAAATGTGCTGATCTAGACTTTTTTTGATGACATGTCATCTTCTTCATACCAAAGCCCCTCCAATGGATCCCCGTTGCTTGCAAACTAGTCTCTCATCTTCACTCTCTACAAAATCAATCTAACTCATATCTTTTTATTCTCTGAATGCTCTCTCATCTCCACTCCATCTGCAAAATCGATCTAAACCCATTTCTTCTTCTCCTCTGAATACCCCCTCATCTCCACTCCATCTACAAAATCGATCTTAACCCATTTCTTCTTCTTCTCTTTTCTCGGGGGAACTTAAGTTACTGGGTTTCATTGAAACCTCAAACCTGGCAGATCTTATCAAATCAAATTAACCCTTCAATAAATAATACAAATCAAACTCTAATCGAATTTCAACAAAAATACAATCAAACTTTAATCAAATTCCAACAAAAATGTAATCAAATTGTAAATCAACCCCCAAATTTATTAACAACTGGGAATGGAAATCAAAAGAAGAATGAAAAAACATGAACCCAGCGTCGAAACAGCAAGGCTAGTTTGCGCTACCAACAAGGCTAGGTTCATCGAAACCCAGCCGATCTGGGTTTCGACAAACCCAGCCTTCGACAAAACTAGGCTAGTCGCGTGAACCAACCAAGGCTGGGTTCTGGTTGGGCGAACCAGCCAAGGTTGGGTTCCAACGAACCCAACAAGGAACCTAGCCTTGGC